ACCTATACGATAATCTCATTAACTAAATATAACACTAATGGTATGTCATAATTGTGTGGACATTTTGGTGTGTTCCCGATGAGGATATTTGCCTTTACGAATTGCCGCAGTGGTGAGATGTGGGTAACTAAATGGCGGTGGGACAATTTAGGGGTTACTCCGCTGTTGGCAATTGTTGTGATTGTGGGAGGGTTGCGGTGGTAGGAACAAAATGATGTCTCTCGTTAAGACGATGGATGATGCGATAGTTATGGTAACAGCGGTACAGAGAGGAGGATGCGACTGGCGGCCGGCCAGCCACCCAGTCAGGGCGTATGTTTTGTCGGAGCTGGAATCTTAATTGGTCAATTTGACCTGGTAGTAAATAGGCTCCAATTATGCGGCGGGTTGGAAAGGGGGTGTCAGAAACAGAACCGAGTAGCAAAAAAAAAACAATTGTCAAACATATATATATATATATATATATATATATATATATATATATATATAAATTGCTTAAACAAAAAAAAGGGTCATAATTCAGGAAAGAAAGATTATGGCTTGGAGTGAAACTCGCATAATGAAGAATGTAGCTATCGGATAAAATTTGCATGACGTCTGCTCGTTAGCTTTCGTAGCCTAATCGGGCAGGTTTTGTCTTTATAAAACAAGCCACTCGGATTCGAATACAAAGCTTATCGGCATCTTATTCTATATTGACGAGCCAAACTGATTAACCTCGTAGCCAACCTAGGTGATCGCATAAATTGCAAGGGTAACATACCAAGCATTCAACATTAAATTTTGTAGCTTTTTATCACAACTCATATGAAGCACGTATATATATATATATATATATATATATATATACACTGAATATATATATATATATATACATAAAGTAAAATAAATTAATCTAAATTAAACCAAATAATTAAACAAATAAACAAACTAACAAACCTATACCGATAAATTAACCGTTAGAAAAAACAAGTAAAAATAATCAATCCAAGTAAATAAATGAAGTAATAAACAAATTAAAACTGCTCTCTATATAGGACTAGCAGGAGAGCCCGGCTTTGCCCGGGGATGTAACAGTAAGAGATAGATCAAGTATCGACCATCATAAAGACTGAAAATAAAATTGACAAAGATTATTGTTTAAGGTTGACGGACACGCATGTCTTAATTAGTTTTATTTTTTTTTTACGAATTGGTCAAACCCAAACTCAAACAAAAATATTGTTTTCAATCGTTATGAGTCTACCGATTGAATAGAATTTTCTTATAAACAATTGTCTTGTAAATGGAATTTTTAAAGCATTCTGAATGTATAAATAAAGAAAAAAGTGTGCAAAAAAATAAGAAACACTACCTGCCAAAAGTTTTATTGAAATCGGTTGAAAAATGTAGGAAATCTGATCCTATATATAAACGAAAACGCACACAGACACACACACAAACAACCAACGTGGGTTTTATAATAAGTATAACTCGATAACTCGATATTAATAAGTATAACTCGATATGAGTTGTTCCCGTTTCATTAATGCCTCTTAATCGTGTTTTCAAATTGATTTCGTGCAAAAACAATTGTGTTTTTCCAATTTTTGGTGCTGTCAGAACCACCGCAAGGTAATTTCACGTAGTCCTGTGAAGTTTTGTTGAAATCGGTTGAAAAATGTAGGAAATCCGATCCAATATATAAACGTACAGACACAGACACACACACACACACACACAACCTGGGTTTTATAATAAGTAAGATTAATACAAATATAAAATTAATTGATTAATGTTATATTCAGCACCTCGACTCCAGAGTTTCGTATACAACCTTTGTGTAATTGTTTAATCCACTCGTCAGTAGGTATCACCAATTGTCTACCGATATTCTCATTTTAGTTAGTCTTATATTAAGTTAAAAAAAATAATTTATACGCTTTTATTAGTGTTACGCTTGTACGTGTGTCTATCTGCACATGTGTAGAATATGGGATTATTTCTCCTTTCATAGTTTTCTTGTCTCCTTATATTCCCTCGTTGTTCCTTTTCCTTCATTTTTCTATCTTTAGGCCCTGAGTCTCAAATAAACACACACACATACACATACATACATATATGAGGAGGCACGATGGAGGCTTGGATTGAAGAATCGGAGAGCCGAGTTCGAATTCCAGTCGAATCCATTCCATTCGCTTACGTGCTAATACCCTATGAATCCTTTTCTTCTCCCTTCAGCTATGGGTAAATAGCAGGACAGACTGGGTTCTATAACATTGGATGGCAACTGGCCTAGGGGAACTCTGAATTGAAAACCTGCACGGAGGGTCGTTTGGGGACCTTGTGACATGTAGTGCACCTCCATGTCTATGTATTCGGCGCTTCAAAAAGTGTGGATGGTTCTGCACAAAACCTTCACCACTATAATCAAATCTGATGTGCTGCTGTCGGGTTCCTAGGAACTGCTCTGCTTGACCCTCATACGTCGAATATATATATATATATATATATATATATATATTCCCATCACTCCCTAATGAGCCAAATGATAACACACACTCACAGCAATACACACGCTTACACATATCATACTCACTCACTCCCTAAGAACCAAATAACACACACACAAACACTAAACAGAGACACATCCCCTCACCAGGTCCAATAAAACTGTCAAACTGACCAGAGAATTCAGAGTAACATGTATCTATCCAGCTCTTATCTCAAATAACAACTTAAAAGAGACTGTTTGACCAACACAATGATTGTTAAAAGATTCATGTTAAAAAGATAAAAAAAATAAAAAACAAATGAAAACTACAGACAAAAGTTCATTTTCTCGATCAAGACATTCATTTCTGTAGTTTAGTGCTAACAGCAAGCAGAAATATTTCTCTTCCCGATGATGGCCATTTTGGTCGAAACTAGTCGAGGAATCTAAATGAAATAATAATAAAAAAAAACAAAAAACGAAAGAATATTAATCTACAACCCAGTGTGTCTAAAGATTTTAATTTCTTAATATGTTTTTATTGTTCAAAAAAAAAAATATATATATATATATATATATATATATATATATATATATATATATATATAAACACTTCAAACACTACCCAGCGTCCAATGTTAAATGCTCAACGATATGATACATCGCAGAGATTATTAATCTTTATTAAGGTTGAAATATGGCCAGGAAGACCGAGTTGCGTCCAGCGTCCAAGTCAGAAACGCCCGTTGGATTTGAAACTTGGCATTCTGGTCTTGATACACTGGTTTTAGCAACTATACTCACCGAGTAACCTATTATTGTCTTGGGAAATTAGAGCGTGTGACGTACGTTTAATTGTGATATCCAGAAATAAAACATTTTGTTAAAGACCGTCATCTCTACAGGAAATCCTCTTAGAAAAAAAATTACTTAGACTTAAAGAAGCACTTCGACGTAGTGTAATGGTTAGTAGGTTTGTCTCGTTACATCCATTAGTAGTGAGTTCGATCCTCACTAGGTGCTCCATGTTTTCGGCCTTGTGCCACATCTAAGCTTCGCTTAGAAAATCACTATACTTAGACTCAGAGAGAGAGACAGTTGCAGTTTCTAGGATATATAATTCGGAATGAGGTTTTGGTTTATTTTGTTTTACGGCATATCAACATCAATGGGTTATTTAATGCCGACAATTTTGATTGCTGGTAATATTTTTTTCAGAAATATATTACTGGTAATATTTTTCTGGTATTAAAACCTATTTTTACACTTTCATAATGTTTTGACCCAACTTTCGGGGATTAACTATTTACCCATAGCTTGGACCTTAACAGGTGCTATCACCCCGGGTCAGGGTGGACCTGGGGACACCAGCAATCAAGAGGTGGTTTCACGCTCCTCAAAACCTCCTGATCAGAGACTTTGCTGTTGGACGTAGTTTATCGTCTTACCCAGGACACGGGTGTAGTTTATCGTCATACCCGGGACGAGAATGAGGTCTTGGAGAATTCCACGTGGAAAGGACATACTCAAGACAAGTGTGACATAAACAGATTGATTGATTTGTTTTTTACGGTTTATCGCCAGTTTGTGATTTATTTAAAGCCGAATCATATTTTGGATTGTAAGAATAATTTTTTTTGTGAGTGAATACTGTATAAATATTTCTTCAGAATAACAAGGTTTTTCTAGATACAAATCCTGCTATGCAATGCAGACCTGAAGGAGGAGATGGAATTCTATCTTTCCTAACGGTATGTTAAAGTGAATCTAATGAGCATGACTGGGATTCGAACTCGGCTCACTGATTTTCTCATTCCAACCCACTATCCATTACACTGAGGGATACAGAATAACCTACCTAACAAGCTTGTGTAAATGGGTGGCAAAACAGGGATGGCGAAAAGACAAATCTTGCTATAAAGGATAGGAAGTTGTGGAGAGCCATGATCCAAGAAGAAGACTGTGTATTTTAAAATTAAATTTTATTTTATTCAAGTATACAGATAGAAAGACCCTAACCCTGTCACTCACGGGAGAGTAATATCCCTGCAAGGGACAACATTCTTTTTTTTTTTTCATTTTTTTTCTTGGTAGGGGGAGTTTATTTTATTTTATTGCTATAACCAAACTGGTATTCAAAGAACTTAGAAGAGGTACCCGCTGATAATCGCTGGTTGAAAACAGTAAAGCATGAAATGCACAGAACTGAATGAAAAGAAACTGGGACAATTAGGGCCTTGCAAGCGCACAGCATGAAGGCACCATCCGCAACCCTGCGGCGAAATCAAAAAACAAAAAAAAAGAACAACCAAAGAGGAAAATAACAACAATTATAATTGTTGTTTTTGCCTGTGTTTGTCGTCTACCCAATTCTTCTTCTTCTTCTTCTTCTTCTTCTTCTTCTTCTTCTTCTTCTTCTTCTTCTTCTTCTTCTTCTTCTTCTTCTTCTTCTTCTCTCTACTCTACTGGATATTTTTAGTGTCAAGTGTCGATATATTCTTAAGAATTGTATAGTTTTTGCCTGTGTATGTCTTCTACCCACTTTCTCCTCCTCCTCCTCCTCCTCCTTCTTCTTCTTCTTCTTCTTCTTCTTAACCTCCTCCTCCTTCTATCCCCTTCTATTTCTCCGTCCTTCTTTCCACCTTCTACTCCAAATTCTTCTTCTTCTTCCAATCGCTTTGCTGCCTTTTCTTTTTTTCGATTCATGATCGTTTTTCTTGTCTATGTTTTGGTTTATGGTTATTTATTGGTTATTATTCAATTTAATTCTTTATTTCTTTTTCTTTTTCTAAGCTTCATTTCTTATTTTTCTTTTCTTTTTTTGCTCGCAAGTCTTCTTTCTCTTTTTTAGTCTTCACTTTCTTTTTTGCTTTTGTCTTCTTTTGCATCTAGCCTTTATTTACCTTCTCTTTTTGTCTTCCTTATTTTGATTTCTTTCCTTTACTTTTATTTTTCTTCTCTTTCTTACCTATGTATCTTTGATTTCTTCTTCTTTTCTTCTTCTTTCTATTCTTGTAGAATACCATATTTAAGGAAAGAAGAACTCGTGATGAGTCAACAACCAGCGAAATATAATCGGTGTCTCAATAAAAGCATCGTGGAGAATCCAACGGGAAACAACTCCATTTCCTATCCCAAGAATAATCATGGTAATAAGCAACGTATTTGAGACAACGGTGTGAAGGGGCTAAAGTCCTCTGGAGATAATTCTTCATTCGTTAAGGGAAGACATATGCGAGAGGTGTCATCCAGCGTCTGTTTGCAAAATTAATATAAATAATAAAGGTGGGTAAGTTCTTTGAAAACGACTCTTCGTCCGGTGAGGATATTCATAAGCGACATATATCACCGGACCATTATCTAGTGACTGTTCGCAACTAAGAAAAGGCAGTATTCGAGACCTGGAACATATAGACGTTATACCAATAAGGCCAACTTGAAAACATAAAACAAGGGATTTATAGATTAAATGTCAACATTCTAGGTGTATACGAAACAGCTGTATAAGTGGAGATAAAAATAAAAGAACTGTAGAGTTAATATTAGATAATGAAACGAGGAATGTGTTCTGGAATACAGCTAAATCTCAGACAGTATCCTGTTAAACTGAAAGAGAAATTTTTCAACATAGCAATTATCGTTGTATGTGCCCCGACAGCAAAGAGCACGGAGGCGGAAATCGATGACATTTGCAACTCTCTGGAAATGCCAAGGCGCTATGTAAGTCACAAGAAATCATCATGGGAGACCAGAATGCCAAGATCGGAAAAGAACGCGATGGTGAAATATTTGGTACGTTCGGAATAGGATCCAGGAAGGAGCGTAGTGAAAGTTGGATTCAGTTACGAACACCTGATTCCAAGAGAATCCAAGACGCATATGAACACGGAAAAACCTGGAAGGAGACACAAAAAACCGAACTGATGGCGTAACTATCAACAATAGTTTTCAGAAACGCTGTTCTACACTGCAAAACCTAAGTTCCGACTGCGAGAGAGACCATCTTCTAGAAGTTCAATAAAGTGCAATACGACAGACCCAAAGTGCAAGGAAACATAGAAAATCACTTATGAACGAATATAACCTGAACGTGATTACAAAATCAAATTGGCACAAGCTGAAAGAACCATTAATGACGTTAACAAATGAGATCATCCCAAAGGAAACGAGAATAGAATGGATGGATGATATGATGATTGAATGGAGGAAATTCTACAGATGATAAAAAAGCGACAATAAACAATACCAAGAAATGTAAAAGAGTACTGAACAATTAACACAGAAATTGAAAGCAAATATAGGCAAGCTAAAAAGAAATGAATCAATTAAAATGTGTGCAGAAATAGAAGGGATAAGCAACACAAATACAGCAAGTATGCACAAAAAGGATACAATAAAAGGATTAACAAGACGGAAGGTGAACCAATCAACAGGCTCTATAAAATCAAAAGCAGTATCATTGATAATAATAACAAAGAAAAATACACCAATGATGAGGTGAATACGTTAGATACGTTTTTTCAAGATACGAGAGAGAAAAATCCAACACCTGAAAATATGTAAGTGCTAGAAATATTAAAATCTGAAATAAAATCAACACTGGAGAAGATGAACACGAAGAAAATAGCAGGGCCTGATGGAATCGTAACAGAAATATTCTCAGCCTTAGACGATTTCGGCATCGACAAGTTTTACAAAAGTAATAAACAAGATATACAACAGTGGCCACATTTTGGAGAACCTCACTACAACAATTTTCGTAACATTGCCTAAGAAAACAGGTACAAATAAATGCGAGCTCCATCAGACAATAAAACTAATGAGCCACATAACCAAACTAATGATGCGAATTCTGATTAAGTGCGAAGCAGATTTAAACCGGAAATAGGCCAAGAACAGTGCGTCTTTGTCAAGGAACTACAACAAGAAATGCGGTATTGATTATTAGAATGAAATCAAAGGGAGCAATATAAATTCAGAAAAGTGTGCATTTAGGTTTTATAGACTACACAATAGCATTTGACAAGGTACGACACAAGGATCTATCTGAACTGCTAGGAAAAATCAATCTATTTGGAAAAGATATTAGAATAATCCAGAAGTTATATTGGGAGAAAACCACCCGCACGCGGAAGCAAAATGAGTAACTAAACAAAAATAGAAAGGGGCGTAAGACAAGACTCTGTTTTTTTCCCCCAGATTTATTCATCCTTTAAAGCGATGTTATCCTGGAGGAGCTACGAGGATTTGTTATCGGTGGGTGTAAACTTAACAATACAAGATATGCAGTGTGTCGATGGCTAGCGGGCAAAAAACTACAGGACCTCCTGAGCGATTCAGCAAAGGGAAGCAAGAAGAAAGGACTAAGCATCAACTTCAGGAAGACATAAAGTATGCTCATCAGCAAGAGGAAAAGCCCAAGATGTGACTTACAAATAATGTCTACATTAAGCAAGTACAGAATTTTAAATATCTGGGAATTGATTTTAACAAAAGACAGAAAGTGCAACCTCGAAATCCGAGCACGAAATTGAACTAGCGAAAGAAGCATTCCAAAATCTAAGCAAAGTACTGAGAAACAGAAAAAAATCCTTAGAAACAAATAAAAAAAAGTGATGGATTGCTATTTGGTTCTCCAGATGAATGTTGAGAATTCTATAAACAGAGAGCGTAAACAACGAAAGTCTTCTTTTTTTTAAGCAAAACACCCCAAGCAAGGCGGAAGTGGTACTAGCACGCAAGGGGTTACAGGGAGTGAGAGTAAGAGGAGTGTTTGTGAAAAGGATAATAAGAAGGACAAGGGATCAAGCTCAAGGCATCAGAAGATGTCGATTAACATTACATTTTAATATTTGAACATTGTATCTATCAGGGAAGCAAGTGATAGGAAGGGAGTTCCACTGACGGGAGGTGCGAGATAAGAAGCAGCTGGAGTAGAAGTGACAGTGAAAGGGTGGGACCGAAATGCCAACCTAGTAGAACGTTTAAATTCATGCAGTTTGGAAACCAGTGAAAGTAGTTCGTCGGAGCAGTTGACATGAAAATACTTGTATAAAAGGCAGAAGGAAGCCACGACACGTCTGTGAGAAAATGACTGCAGACAAGATTCCAGATCAGGACCTATCACGTTGCATATCCGTCTCTGAATTTTGTCGAGGACCTTGAGATAAACAGCGGGAGCACTGGACCATATATGGCAGCAGTATTCCATGCAAGAACGAATGGTTGATTTGTATATTTGAAGGATGAGCTCAGGCGTGAAAAACCTTCTGGCGCAACACAGAGAAACAACTTTCCTTGCGGTAGATGAAGCTGTTGATTCAATGTAGTTGTTCCACCTCAGTGGACAGCGTTTGATCAAGCAGGCGCAGAGATGCGCTCTCGTGGAGTTGGGCATCAGCCATTTCAAAAAGAACACTTACGCTCAGAATGAGGAAGAGACAGCTGAAATTCTTTGAGCACATAACGAGGAAGGAGGGTATGGAAAACTCAACCCTCACAGGGCATATCTAGAACAAGAGAGATAGAGGAAGGCAGCGAGACACATACCTGATGAGATTGTCTGAATGGATGGCACACTAGGATCCGGGAGCCTTAACAAAAGGAGAACAACTGCTAAGTGCCAAAAGAGACACAAAGTTTTGGGGGGGCCATGATCGCCCATATCCTGAAGAAAAACAAGTAGAGCTTCTGGTTTGTAAGTGAGTGTGGGTCATTATTTTATAATTTATTGTTTTCCCATTTGACACCAAATAACAGCGTGTCTCATCAATATCCAATTAATCGAATTGGTCATCTAGCTGAATTTAGTCAGCTGAGTTCGAATTCCAGTTGAATCCATTACGTTCACTTACGTGCTAATACCCTTGGGAAAGGTATGAATCCTCTTCTTTCCCCCCAGCTATGGGTAAATAGCAGGACAGACTATAACCTTGGATGGCAACTGGTCTACCGCAGAAAAAAATGGCAACCTACTGCGGGAAAAATCTGCCTCGTCAGTTATGTATCGAAAGATACATGATCGCCTACGCGTGTATCACGCATGGCACATAACTGACTGACTTTCCAGTCGAATCCATTGCATTCAATTGCGTGGTAATATCCTTGGGAAAGGTATGAATCCTCTTCTCCCCCAGCTATGTGTAAATAGTAGGACAGACCGGGTTCTATAGCCTTGGAGGGCAACCTGTCTACCGGGGAAAGAAATGGCAACTTACTGCGGGGAAAAAAATCTGCCTCGTCAGTCATGTATCGAAAGATACATGATCGCCTACGCGTGTGTCACGAACGGCACATAACTGACTGACTGACTTTCTATAGCTTCAATTCTTTCTCGAATTTTCAGTTCTTCCAATCTCTTAGCAAAGTTATACAGACTTTTCTAAACGCACCAATAATGTTTGTTACATTTGCCCATTCCATATTTCCAGTTCTCTGTCAATCTCAAAATATATTCCTTTCTTTTTTTTTTTGTATTTTTTAATTTCCTATCTAACTTCTCTCTTTGCTTACGAAGACTGTGTGACAATCGATATCTGTATTAGGTTATGTTTATAAATGTAAAAGACAATAGGAAAAATGTAATATTAGCCGACGCGTTTCGTCCAATGTGAACTTTTTCAAGGCAAAAAACGAAATGAATTTATTAAATAAAGTAACTAATAATAACAAAACAAAATGTACTTAGCAACTGGAAGAATTTAGAGAACGCAATTATATTCATACTGTTAACTGAAAATTATGTCAAATACTGTCACGTGTAGAGATATTGTTTTTATTGTTGTGTTTATGGATTCAACCATTTTCTTTTGATTTCTTGATATAGTTGTGTACGTTTACTTGGGAGAGTAATAATTCTGTTAAGAAAGGTGGAATACGGAAAAAAGCACTGGGCTAGATTAATATTTGGATAATATTCAATAACGGCACTCTCAAGGATTTTCCTTCTGAATGAGTTATTTTTTTTATGAGTGTAGCATTTAAAATCAAAATTGTGGTTGAATTTATTTCTATGTATGACTAGTGCATTAGTTAAGTTGTTTTTTGTGAGGTTTCTTTTGTGCTCATAAATGCGTTTTGTTTTTTTTTAATTTCTACTTGTTTCTCCAATATATTGGGAGGAACAGTTTTGGCAATTTATTGTCTTTTACATTTATAAATATTGTCTTTTTCTGCAGGTTAACTCTGAGAAATTTTTCATATTAGGTTATGTGTTTAAAGTTGAAAGTTTCTTCTAGTTTCTCGGATAGGGCTTGATTTCTTCATATATCGTTAGCTTGAATGGTAAAATTCTAATCGCTTGCATATTTCTAATTCAACAACCGTTCCTACCCAATCATGAGAATTGCTTTTTACTCCTAAGCTAATTAACACCCTTCGCTTATTATGACTGAGAACTTCATCTATTTCTGCATGCACTATTCTACAGTGGCTTTTCTAATATATTTACTATTCCGTGTTGTTGTTTATAAATATTACCATCTATCATACAGGGTGTTTCAAAAAGAATTACGCCAAAATCATTACGCTGTTTTTTCAGGTCTGTAGCATTAAAGTGGACTGAATCAGTGGTTATTTGATAGAGTAGTTATCAAAGTTTGATTGGGTGTCAGTTTCACCGCTGTCGTTAGTATAACTTCCGGTGCAGTTACAAACAGGACAAACCTATCTCGAAATGCTCCAAAAATGGCTATTCACTTTACTGCAAGCAGATTCGAATGACTTCATTTTTCAGCAAGATTGAGCACCACCCCATTGGCATCTCGGGGTTAGAGCTTATCTGAATGAAAACAAGCCTCAGCGATGGATTGGGAGGAGAGGTGCTAAAGACCTTGCTCTCTGTGCTTGGCCTGCCAGATCCCCAGTCCTCACTGTGATATTGACTTTTTCTTGTGGGGGTATGTTAAAGACCAAGTTTATGTTCCAGCACTTCCAGCAAGTATCGATGACTTGAAAAATCGAATAACAGCTGTAATCAACATGATGGACCGTGACATGCTGAGGCGCGTTTGGGAGGAATTCTCATATCGGCTTGATGTTGTCCGCGTTGTCGGTGGTGGCCACATTGAGCACTTATAAAACATGAAATGAAACTTGAATGTATATATAACACATGTGTTCATGCTAGAGGTTTGTAATTTTTTTCGTTTTTGACATATCACGTGATGATTTTGGCGTATTCTTTTTGAAACACCCTGTATTATCATATTATATAGTTTTCCTAATGTGTTCTTTGAAACAAAACTTTACCAAATCTTCTACCTGAGATCTGTGATGAAGAAAGAGGCATGATGTGAACCTTGAGGAGACCAAATATGTGCGACAACTTGGTGCAACATTCAGTTAGCTTGTCTATCCCTAGACACGGGCAGTTGAAAGAGAACAGTCTAATTCCGTAGATTAAATAAAGCGTTAAGTTCATAATCCCCTGTACGTTACCCAGTTCGATATGACCTGAGAAAGACCGGAGGGTACAACAGCCGAAACGTAGTGATAACAACAACAAAGATGAAGATAACAGTCCACATATAAATTGTGTAAATAATGATAACTCCTCACCCCAGAAATTCAGATAAAAATTATTTTATTCGTCTCTCTCTATATTTCTGAGATATTTTAATTGCCTTCTTCAGTTGATTGGGATTTTGAACTGAACAAATTATTTCGTTCACCAGGGTAGATTGTTCTAGTTCCACGTGTCATGCCTCTTCTAGATGTCCCAGTTATTTCCCTTTAACTCAACTCTCCAGGTTTTTGTTCACCTCCGCTGTAGCCAGGTTCGAACTCACAACTCTTTGGGTCAAGTCACTGGATTCAACCAACATATTTATCTACTGAGCCATTTGTCCTTGAACACCTGAAGAAGACTGGAGCGAACAACGACTGAAACGTCGTGAATATGCCAACGAAAATTAGGACAACAGTAAATATTTTACTCGTGTTTCTTTTCTTCCTCTCTTCTTCTTCATCACCATGACCATTATCATCATCATCATTTTCATTATGTTTGTTTTTTGTCGTCTATCCTTGACATATAATGTTTTTATTTTCGGAACATTTTCCCAGCTCTCTCTGCTGCCAAATTTTCCTTGGGTGCATTATTGTTAGCTTTTCCTCTTGAATGTACCATCATCGCGCGACAGTAATCCACGCCTTAATTTAGATAACATTTTTTTATCACACTCTGTAACGGGATAGCCGCTGCAAAAACTACCTTTGCTTATCACTATTTCTTAGTCCTCCCGTTCGACCACGCCCATTACTTTCTATCCTACAAACAACCGCCTTCTTATTCTGAAGTTAGTGTATGCTTATTATGTGAGACGTCAGCAAGTTCATTGACACGGGAAATGAAAGAAAAAAAAGTAATAAAAATAAAGATAACAACGTTTTAAAATGTTTTCCGAGTTCAATTTTGTAATCTCTATTTAGATATCTTTCGATCCCAGCCATTTTATATCGATCTGGCTTAACCTTTTCTTATCTAGATATCTATAAATCCGGACTTTTCATATCAATCTCAGTTTTGTCCTATTTACATATCTCTCGATACTAGCCATTTCATATCGATCTGTCTAAACCGTTTTTTATCTACATATCTATGAATCCAGTCATTTCATATCAGTTTTAGTCTTGTCCTATTTACATATCTAATGATTCTAGCCATTTCATATCGATCTGACTTAACCTTTTGTTATCTAGATATCTATGAATACGATCATTTCATATCAATCATAGTCTTGTCCTGTTTACATATCTCTCGATCCTAGCCATTTCATATCGATCTGAATTAAACTTTTCCTATCTAGATATCTATAAATCCAGACTTTTCATATCAATCTCAGTTTTGTCCTATTTATAAATCTCTCGATATGTACGTACGTGCAGGGTATCGTGATCATTTGTCTTTTTCTTCGTTTTTTGTTTTGTTTTTCTACTGTACTATATATATATATATATATATATATATATATATATAGGCGCATAGCCGTGTTATTAGAACGTTAGCTTTCCGTCCGTTATGGATTCCGAGATGAATTCGGTCTCCAATGAAGAACAAACGCAATAATTAAATATAAGAAATAAGATGTATTTACACAATCATACAAAGGGTAATACTCTTAGTAAATCCAGGAACACGGTTAGTAGCAAATACAGATAGATATATACAGTCTCGAAGTAGGAATTCCTTAGAGTCTCCGTGCTTGTAACTGACTTCTACAAGAGGCTACCTCACATTATCTCCGTTCGTATATTCTCTCTCTCTCTCTCTCTCTCTCTCCCTCTCTCTCTCTCTCTCTTTCCGACTACCCTCTCACTATCAGACTACTCTACTGACTGTTTAACTGGGTATTTAACGGCAGCAGTCCAGGTACACTGGTAGAGTCCACATATGAAAAAGGGGCGGACCCCATAACACCGTCCATGAGAGCCAGCTTTGAATCTCACTAACATTCTACTACAGAATGTATTGCTGACCATTTTGTTTTAAAAATGTATTGCTGATCATTTTGTTTTAAAAATGTATTGCTGATCATTTTGTTTTAAAAATGTATTGCTGATATTTTTTATATAAAAATATATTGGTAGCAGTTTATTTATAAAAATATATTTTTTATACTTGCACGTTTTTGTTTGAGGGTTCACTGACTGCCCATAGTTGGTACCCTAACAGGTGCTACCACCCCGGGTCAAGGTGGACCTGGGAATAACAGCAATTAAATGGTTGTTCCACGCTCCTCAAAATCGCCAATCTCCCGATCACAGGCTTGATAGGGTGGAAGGTGACAGACCTGGAACATGTAATGTTTGCGAAAAAATAAAACATAAAAACAAGACGTGAAAATCTTCTTGCACGGTCATTGCGAATAAAGCAGTCATCCAGTATTTAAGCCCATTCAATGGTATCTCGCTGCCGACTTAGTAACCCCACGAGTGAGTATCGCTCTATACTTGCGCAGGAAGATCCCCCCCTTACATTAGTTGCCCAGTTAAATCAGAGCCACAAAACCGGTTCTTGAGGTATTCGAAATAGCTGGAGACATTCCGGACACACTTTGTTCAGGAATACGCTCACACACACACACACACACACACACAAACCCACCCACCTACACACACACATACATACATATATACATACATACATACATACATACATACATACATACACAAGTAAACACACGCAAACAAACACACATAGTAAGTGTAAGCATAGACACGCTGACATTAATGAACAGACGGGCGCCTGTGCGCAGACTGGTAACTCCTCCTTACCGCCCCCCAACACCATAAAAATGATCCCCCTATAGATCTCAAAATAAGCCTTCTTATTTTTTTAAGGTTGCCATCCTCATAGTGGAACCCTGCCATTATAACCATTTTATTTGTTACAATTCGGTCCCTTCAGCTCCTTAACTTGAATTCTTTTTGTTTCGCATATGAAATTTGGATCTCACCCTCATCCCAGCACCTCACAGACACACCCACAGCACTTCGCTCCACTCATACACCGTACGTAACTATCTTTTCTTTGCTTTTTGTGGGGGGGGGGAGTAGTTATGTAATTTTCTCTATTCCTTTCTCTCGTCTTCTTTCTACTTCTGTCTTTCATTCTCACCTCAACTTCAATCTCCCATTCTCTAACTTCTTGCCTCTCTACTTCTCTCTTCATCTCTATCACCCCTCTCTCTCCCTCTCCTTTCTCTCTCTCTCCCTCTCCTTTCTCTCTCTCTCTCTCTCGCCCTATCCCATTCCTTCTATCTTTGACGGTTCTTTTTCTTTCTTTTATACCAATTTATGCTTCCATTCTCTCCCCTCTTTCTCTATTTCTCTCTTCCCTTTTCTTCCTTCTCTCATCTTTTCCCACTTTCATCGTTCCAGACTACCGCCATTTTCTTTGGCTTTCTCTATGAATCAATCGTTATTAATGACATCCTTTCTCTTTGTTTGTTTGTTTCTTTCTTTCTGTCTTTCTTTGTTTCTTTCTTTGTTTCTATCTTTCTTTCTTTCTTTCCTTTCCTTTCCTTTCCTCCTTCCTTCCTTCCTTTGTTTATTTTTCTTCCTGTTTTCCTTTTTATCTGCCTTTTCTTAATCTCTTCTCAATTACATAAGTGTCACTATTTTCGAAATATTTTGAAAATATCAAATTAGCATAATTTGGGATATTTTTATATACAGTTTTATATCGTTTTCTTCTTACAACTTCAAAAACAGTTTTAATAAAATATGTTTCTTCCAAAATTTATTATCCCCTTATAAATCCTAAGTTTTGAACAAACAAAATACTTCAAATACACAGACTAGAGGTAAACTGTAAAATATGGAATCCAGAAGAATTTTAACGAAAAGAACCGATTGAAGGGACAATGATAAATTGTATCTGCAAACATTGGAATTAATGGGAATTTCTTAATCTTAAAAGTTATCATACACAAGAGTGTATGTACCCCAACCAGATTTTGGAATTATCTAGGATGTATTAGATAGATAGATAGATAAATAGATAGATATGCGTGTGTTTGTGTGTGTATGTGTTATACAACTCCAGAATAATGTTACATACAAACAAGAGATGCTTACAGAGAGATGGCTGGTAGGACATAATATGCACTGGTTACAAAATTTTCAATTGATATTTGGTGTTTTCTCTGTTCAGCATTATCTCTCTCTCTCTCTCTCTCTCTATATATATATATATATATATATATATATATAGTTACTTTAGCATAATAATATTTCATAATTATTTAATCAAAGTTGTTTTTCAAATTTCGTATACATTTTAATATTGATTTTTAAAATTCGTGCATTTTTATTTATTTTCTTATTTTTTATTTTAAGTTTTTTATTTTGTAGTATTATCCAAAAGTAACTTTTGGGTCACACTTTACACACATACATACGCGCATACACACACACACATATATATATATATATATATATATATATATATATATATATATACAGAGAGAGAGAGAGAGAGAGAGAGAGAGAGAGAGATGGATTCAGAAAAGTCCAAGTTTTTATTGAACAACATGGACAAGTGAATTGTTTAAAGTGGCCAGTTTTCTGTGCACTCCAATGCATACTCTGTCTATCATGTCCTGTACTGGTGAACTGTGTTCCACATAACGGCTGATGCTACAAACGCAGGATTTTTTAATAGAATTTTTCAATCTCCTTGTTGCCTGTTTGCCGTTGGTTTCTATACGAAGCTCATCTGCCCTTTGGCAACCATCTCAAGGCTTGTTTGAATTCATAGTTTACCTTCTCCTAGATTGGTTGCCAACCAAAGTTATACGACACAGTCTGTCCCGCTACTTACCCATAGCTGGTGTGAGAAACGATGGATTAACGCCTTTCGCGTACGTGGATGTAACGAATTCGACTGGAATTTGAACTCGGCTCCCCGATTTCTTATTCCGAGTCGTATAGACCAACCAAAGATCGTCAGTGTCATTAGCAAGCCTTTTGAAGCTATAATCAACAATAAGGTTGTTGATCAACTAAATAGGAACAAACGCTTGAGCGACAAGCAGTACGTGCATTGATCTGCCCGATCCACTGCTGATGTCCTGACTGTCATTACCCACAGAATCAGAGAGGCACTAGACAACAAATACATCAAAATGACTATCGCATTAGATATTGCAAAAGCCTTTTACTAGGTGTGGCATAAAGGATTACTGCACAAGCTCTCTAGCTATGGAATGACTGGAAGAGTTTTCTCAATTATAAAGTCCTTCCTAACGAGAATGTAATTGTTAACGACCAGTCCTACGAGGCTCTAGAAATCAACATAGGCATTCCACAAAGGCCGCTTCTTAACCAACCCTCTTTCTACTTTACATAAATGATCTACCTGCGGGTATATTCGTGAGTATTGCTGCTAATACAACAGGTATGTAGATATACCTTATAAAATTGGAACGACTAGAGATTGGAAGTTGATCTTATCTCTGAGCTGGCTCGAACGTCTCAGTGAAGGAAAACTGGCTGGTTACAGTCAATGCGTCAAAAACCAAACTAGTTATATTCCGTCATCGCTGATCGGACCCAGAACTATCACCAATCCCGATGAACGGGTGTTCCCTCGGGGAGGTCCCGTGCCTTGAACGCCTATAGGAACTTAAACTCAACGAAGATCTCAAGTGGAACACCTACATACGACCTATCGCTAAAAGTGCTGGAAAATGGTTACTTGTACCTCTCCAGTACGTACCTGACTCCTCCTGCCATCATCGACCTTTACAAGACCACATCAGGCCAAAAATGGAAAAATGGTTCCTTGTACCACGATGATAGTCCAAGGTAGAACCAATAAAGAAGAACTCGAACACAGGTATGGAATAACACAGATATATTACAAACAGGAATATATACAGAGAAGTAGAAGTGTTAGTATGAACAATCAGGTTTAGTAGAGAGAACAATGTAGTCTCGACCAGTATCACTATTCCAATGTCTTGGAGTAATTGTCTGAACGCGACTCTGTTTCGGACTGCCTCTGACTCGACTCTTGACTCGACTTTAACTACTGAATTCACTTGAACTACTGACGATATTCAGTCACCCCCCCACAAGGGTGTCATGTGGCACAAGGCCTTTTTAACGTGGGCATTCCCGAGCCATTAGGCTCGGCCAAAAAATAGCCCATTTGAACCCGTATGAACGGGTCCAGGGCCGGTTTAACCTCCCTGAAGGAGACTCCGCCCTTCGGCGTAGCCTCCTTCGGGTTCCTCCCGCCCGTAGGAAGAGAGTACAACCGTGCAGTCGGTTCAAAAAACTGAACTACTGACTATATTTGGTCGTCCCCCACGAGGGCGTCGTCATGTGGCACAGGGCCTTTTAACGTGGGCATTTCGAGCCATTAGGATCGGCCAAAATAGGCCATTTGAACCCGTATAAACGGGTTCAGGGCCGAGCTTTTCCTCCCCGAGGAGACTCCGCCCTTCGGCGTAGCCTCCTTCGGGTTCCTCCCGCCCGTAGGAAGAGAGTACAACCGTGCAGTCAGTTCAAAACTTGAACTACTGACGATATTCAGTCACCCCCCACGAGGGTGTCATGTGGCTGAAGGCCTTTTTAACGTGGGCATTCCCGAGCCATTAGGCTCGGCCAAAAATAGCCCATTTGAACCCGTATAAACGGGTTCAGGGCCGAGTTTACCTCCCGAAGGAGACTCCGCCCTTCGGCGTAGCCTCCTTCGGGTTCCTCCCGCCCGTAGGAAGAGAGTTGAACCGAACAGTCGCTCAGAAAGTGAACGACTGACTATATTTAGTCGTCCCCCACGAGGGCGTCATGTGCACAAAGGCCTTTTTAACGTGGGCTTTCCGAGCCATTTGGCTCGGCCAAAAATTAGCCCATTTGAACCCGTATAAACGGGTTCAGGTCCGAGTTTATTCTCCCGAAGGAGACTCCGCCCTTCGGCGTAGCTCCTTCGGGTTCCTTCCGTCCGTAGACAGAGAGGGTAAACCGAACTGTCGCTCAGAAAGTGAACGACTGACAATATTCAGTCACCCCCACGAGGGCAGGTGTCATGTGGCACAAGGCCTTTTTTAACGTGGGCATTCCCGAGCCATTAGGCTCGGCCAAAAAAATAATTTTGAACCTGTATAAACGGGTCCTGGGCCAGCGACCCCTGAAGGAGACTCCGCCCTTCGGCGTAGCCTCCTTCGGGTTCCCTCGCCCGTAGGAAGAGAGTTTAACCGTGCAGTCAGTTCAGAGGTGAACGACTGACACATTCAGTCACCCCCCACGAGGGTGTCATGTGTAACAAGGCCTTTAACGTGGGGATTCCCGAGCCGTCGGCTCAAAAAACAGCCCATTTGAACCCGTATAAACGGGATTCAGGGCCAGTTTCCGAAGGAGACTCCGCCCTTCGGCGTAGCCTCCTTCGGGTTCCCTCTCCCCGTAGGAAGAGAGTTGAACCGAACAGTCGCTCAGAAAGTGAACGACTGACTATATTTAATCGTCCCCCACGAGGGCGTCATGTGGCACAAGGCCTTTTTAACGTGGGCTTTCCGAGCCATTTGGCTCGGCCAAAAAAATAGCCCATTTGAACTCGTATAAACGGGTTCAGGGGCCGAGCACCTCCCCGAAGGAGACTCCGCCCTTCGGCGTAGCCTCCTTCGGGTTCCCTCTCGTCCGTAGACAGAGAGGTAAACCGAACAAATCGCTCAGAAAGTGAACGACTGACAATATTCAGTCACCCCCACGAGGGTGTCATGTGGCACAAGGCCTTTTTAACGTGGGCATTCCCGAGCCATTAGGCTCGGCCGTAAATAGCCCATTTGAACCCGTATAAACGGGTTCTGGGCCAGCGAACCTCCCCGAAGGAGACTCCGCCCTTCGGCGTAGCCTCCTTCGGGTTCCTCTCCGCCCGTAGGAAGAGAGTTTAACCGTGCAGTCAGTTCAGAGGTGAACGACTGAAAATATTCAGTCACCCCCCCACGAGGGTGTCATGCGGCACAAGGCCTTTTTAACGTGGGCATTCCCGAGCCATTGGGCCCGGCCAAAATAGCCCATTTGAACCCGTATAAACGGGTTCTGGGCCGGAAGAGCCTCGAAGGAGACTCCGCCCTTCGGCGTAGCCTCCTTCGGGTTCCTCGCCCGTAGGAAGAGAGTTGAACCGTGCAGTCAGTTCAGAGGTGAACGACTGACAATATTCAGTCACCCCCACGAGGTGTCATGCGGCACAAAACCTTTTAACGTGGGCATTCCCGAGCCATTAGGCCCGGCCAAAAAAATAGCCCATTTAGAACCCGTATAAACGGGTTCTGGGCCGAAAGTTCCTCCCCGAAGGAGACTCCGCCCTTCGGCGTAGCCTCCTTCGGGTTCCTCTCGCCCGTAGGGAAGAGAGTTGAACCATGCAGTCAGTTCAGAGGTGAACGACTGACAATATTCAGTCACCCCCCACGAGGGTGTCATGCGGCACAAGGCCTTTTTAACGTGGGCATTCCCGAGCCATTAGGCTCGGCCAAAAAAATAGCCCGTTTGAACCCGTATAAACGGGTTCAGGGCCGTTTAACCTCCCCGAAGGAGACTCCGCCCTTCGGCGTAGCCCGCTTCGGGTTCCTCGCCCGTAGGAAGAGA